GTGTAGTAGCCTGGTAGCCTGGTAGCCTCTCACAATTAAACAGGAATAAAAAGGGAGAATCAGGGAAATATCAATCAGAAGTTAGCAGATTTGTCTCTCACAAGCCGTCATGTTGTTGATGACATTGGAATCACGTGTGGAGACCTTCAGATTTGCATGATGGATGCAGCTATTTGGCACAATAGATCATTGTGGCGACCGTTGTTTGGACCTTTGGTTCGCATTTGCCATATACATTCATTTGGCATTTGTTTCGTGAACTCTATATCATGAGGAAACTCCTTCTTTGGGTGACCTTAAGTCGCTGCTTCAGCTATCGCGACTTTCTTGACTCCAGCAGTTTGCAACAGTCGAGCGGCGACTTCGGTGACATCGAAATCGACCGAGACTTCCGTGATCATGGTGATGGTGATGACGACCAAGAGTCCGTTCGAGCCTTCGCATGGATAGGTTTTACAGATAAGCTCCAGATCCACAAAAAGGATGCCATTGAAAATGTGCCCACGCCCTTCTTGTCCATTGCGGGAAAAACTCAGAACAGTCCATGCAAAGTGGTGATGTACAAGTCCCTTGGCCGCTTTTCGACTCATGGGATGCGAAGGGTAAACTGTTGTATCTCTTCTCAGATTCCCCGTTTTATACAACATGTTTCAAATATAAACTCTAACCAGCCACTGCCAGTAGGTGCTAGGATTTCGCCTCACTCCAAATCATCAATGCAGACTCCCACCCTAGCCACTATAAAATGTTTTAAACCCGTTTAAATGGGCATAAACCAGGGTGATCAAAGGTAATCGAAGTCAAAGCGTTGAGCCTCATGTGCTGTTTAAGTGCCCCTGGGCCCTGAGGTCTGCATATTCAAGCCTGAGTTCACCAGTGAACGAAGTGAAGGCTAACGCGGTGCTGATTGTGAAGGCACAGTTGGTGCAGCTGTGCAAGACTCAGCTCGAAGAGTTTAAGGCCTGGCAGTTGAATCCTCAAAGAACATATTTGGAGCATTTTGGAGCGTCAAGTATTGAAGTTATTGAAGACTCATAAGACTCGACACTTGGGGCCATAGCGGAGGTTCGAGTGGCATGTTCAGATGAGCCACCGAGGTTGATGTTACGAACGCAATGTACCTTCACTAGGTTTTCGCCTCTCTTACCCACCAGTTCACTTGCGGCAACACCCAAGTGTTGTGTTTCTACATCTTGTACATTCAGCTTGTACTGTATCAATTTTGTTTTTTCGATTATCATTTTGTTACTTGTAAATGCTGTTACTGCTGGTACTTTCACTCATCGCGTTGATGCGAAAATTCCCGCACCTCGGTGCACAGAACTCTCGAGGACTCACGGACGGCAGCTGTTTTTCAGACCCTAAGTACAACAAGTAAGTAGTACAACCTAGGCTACCCTCACCGGACTAGGCACTAGGCACGTAGAGTGATTCCTGGACAGTCATTTCAAGTGGAGGTTTGAGGTTCAGCGGTGCCAAGGCGCCACTGTGGACACAAACACATGCAATGCGAAAAATATGCTGATTAAACATGAACAAACACTTTCGCTTTCTCATAGTTTTCCTTTATTTCCCTTGGAATAGTGGGTTCAGCGCAGGTCCCGTGCGAAGCACTCAACCTCCACACGGAGGAAGGGCGATGGATGACTCTGGGTGAGTCAGCTGTCAGAGAGGCTGGGAAGTTCTTTGCGTGGCCCCCTTGTAGGTGCGGGAAAGTTGAGCAACGCCTAAGGTGGTTGCAATATATTAATTGCAATGATAAGGACAACGATGACAACGATGAATTTGGTGAGAATAATAAAGAACACAATGAGGATACTGCTTGATGATGATGATGATGATGATGGACTTGGCCGTCGCTAAGACCTTTTAGGGGTATATGGATTCATTGGAATTGATAGCGACCTGCACGCCACACCCTTATCAGGACGGTCAAGAGGAGCAGGATCAGGAGGTTCAGGACGATTCCACAGATGATGAGGCTGATGAGGCTGATGAGGCTTCAAGTTCAACCTCAGATAGTCGGGTCATTCTCACCATGATGGATGCTGTGAAGACGTACGCATGCATGGTGGAAGAAGGGAGGGACTTATCGTCCACAAGAACAAACTTGCACTTGAAACACTTTGCTCTGACTGCGAATGCCAAGAAGAAAGCCAAGAAGCTCTTGAAATTCTTCCGGAAGAAAGCCGGGAAGTTGGCTAACAAGCCGAGAGGAGGGGTACTGAAGCGTTTGAGCAAAAAGTTGGCAGCTTCCAAGTTGTGTGGCGCCAAATGCAAGAAATGGCGGGTCCTGTTGAAAGCTGCAATAGGCGATCGCGAGACGAAGCCTGAGTCTTGCCGGTCCTTTGCCAGAGAGCAACAGCTGGTGGAAATCAAAGGTGATCCAAATGACCGAATTGGAAGCATCGACTTGTCATCGCTTGATGTGGCACAGTCAGCACGGAAAGTCACTATGGAAACTGCCAGTGATGGTTTGTCCTTCTTGGTGACCAACGATTTGATGACAGAGGTGGTGTCCAAAGTGGTGCTTGGTAGCCAAATTCCATCAGCTTATGCAGACATCTCGGGGTCTTGGTCTGATCTGATCAAAACTTTGGAATCTCGATCCCGCGAGTGCAAGGTGGAGAAGGTCGGGGTGTTCAACATGCAGGCGGGGGGCGTGTGCACAATTTGACCAACATCATACGCTTGTCATATTGAGCATGTCAAGTTCTGATGGAATTCTACAGCTGGAACCCTCCGCTGACCCCCAGATGCTCCCAAATGCTCCGGATCCATGGTTTGAGGCCAAGATCAAAGCCAATGGCTTCAGCCTTGTGGAGCGATTTCCGTGGAAGGTCTTGTTCTTCAGCAGAGCTGCCATTCAGATTCATACAAAGTTCCTTGAACAATCTATATAGCTGTCATAAGCTGTCATAGGATGTCATAGGTGTCACAGGTCTTGTAATTGGTTGCATCCTTAGCAATGTGATTCCATTGCATGGTACACCGGTATGCCCATAGCCGATCGCAATCTGTGATGTCCTCAATCCACAAGCCATTTTCATTTGTGTGGTGTGCACCACGAAAATCATTCAGTGGATTCAGTGTCAAAAATAAAGCTTGGAGAATCTTGGAGAGCTTTGCAATGCTTTGCATGCTGAGCCAAGCTCAAGCTCTGTCCAAGGCATGGACATGGCAAGAGCTACGGCTATGATCTGCATGGAGATCCCGAGGAGATCGACTTCCCATGCAAGTGGATGACCAAGGCCTATGAGCGAGGCTACCGACCACGCAGGCGGCTCCTCCCTACGGCCGTGCGAGAGATCAATTTCACCATCCCCTTCTGGAACAGGCACGAACCAGGGAGCAACCGCACCGTAGTTCATGTCTAGAGTCCAGGTCTACCACTTGGTCACTTGGTGTGAGGTATCGGGTCCGGGTTCTTGATCGTTTTTCATCTCATCTCGTGCGCTTAGACTAAATTAGACTGAGACACGGATGATTAGAGTAAGGTAGAGTAAGGTAGAGTAAGGTAGAGTAAGGTAGAGTAAGTTAGAGTAGGTTTAGAGCAGATCCAGCCAAAACCATGCCCGTAGGGATTTTCCATGATTTTCCTATGGTTTTCCTTGTGTCCTGTTTTGTCTGTTCAGTTTTTGAAGGGATCGACGGCCAGGACAGTGCATATCCCCAAGAAGTTGTGGGAACCGACCTCTGGTGGGACTATGCTCTGGATCGATGAAGAGGGGAAGCTTCCGCTTCCTGAGTGGATGCGAGGCATGCGAAAATTGAGTGCAAATTCGAAGAACGCACCTTCCTGGATGCAATCCTTTTCAGATGGACGCAGCATGGCCGACTATGTGAGGTATATGAAACAGGATGTGCGTGGACTCCATGCTGCGGAGGAATCGCCGCAGATTCTTCAAGCATTGCTTGAGCTTGGCTGGAAGCCAGATGCATTAGTTGCTTTGAACACTGGAGAAAATAATCTCCTTATGAACGGTCAATCTGAAAGCATTCAGATGTCGGCTAAGATGGTGAACACCGTGTATCCCTACAACAAGAAGCAGGCAAGCCAACCCACAATCTCAGTCGACTTTTGGAGACATGGCGGCGAAAACAAGCTTTGGTCAGTCTATGACTACACTGAATCGTATTTGCAGAGCTGCTTTGGCCTTGATATCACATCCTTGACTCAAAGCAATGACGGGCATAGTGACCCTAGCACTAGAAGCACCAGTACTATTTCACTTTGCACCAACAACTATGCAGAGGCTGTCTTACCCAGCAGCACCCAACGTGACCGAGCAGATGTCATGAAGGACTTCGGTGAAGGCCAAAACCGGCTGAACTCTAGGAATGAAAGGTAATTCTTTGACTTTGGCTTACATTTTGGGATTCAATTTTCATTTGCTCATTGTTTTCATTCACCCTCAAAAGCTGAACTGTTCTTTGCACTGCTGGAAGTGGGGATGGATTTTTGTGGAGAAGTGTTCTTGGACCCATGTTATCACAGGAGCTTATTGCATTCTTCTCGAGAGGAAAGCCTGAAGAACTGAAGGTGCAGAATGCGATCGTCAAGAGTTGCTACAGTGAAAGTGATTGCACTGGAAACAGTTGCGTACTTCCATGGGATTGCAAGGAGAACGAGGATCACCCCTGTCCTGTGGGCTTTGGCTGCGGCTGTGACAACACGAAGAACCAAAAGATCTTCGCAGTTTCCCTGGCCGCTTCAGTGCTCAACGAGGGAACGCGCAATTATCTGGTCTTCGGACCGAAATTTGTGGCAATTTGTCACGGAGTTGCTCTGGTTGCTGCTCCTTTCACTGGAGGTGCATCTTTGGGCTTGGCGCCTTTGTGCCCCATCCTGGCCCCGTTGTTCTTCTACGGCGTGGCTCCCTTGAGATCCGACATTCTCATCGCTATGATCTTCGCATCTGTCACGGGTGGAATGAATTCTTGCGGCTGCATACCACTGAAATGTTCCGCGAGTTCCAGGATGAAGAGCAACGTCTGTGCCCTGTACCATCCACAGGAGACCAGAAAAAACCGAGAGGCTGTCAGACTGCCTATAGTCCCTGAATCATTATCGAATAATATCAAAATATTAAGGGCTGCCGCCCCTGCCGCCGACCCCGGAAAAGAATATGTAAAGGTTCTCTTGCCGAAGTAAACGTTCGTAAGGTTCCGCATGTTTTGCGGACCATGCAACTGTTCGAGAAAGTGAAACAATATCTGGCAAAATATACCTGATGCAGATGACTTATAGGCCTTGAGCAGATGCCGCAATGTTCCAATTTCATCAAGGGCTGGTGAAACAGGCAAGAGTGACGAGACAGTTGACATGAAGCTTGCTCTGAACCGAACAACACATCTATGTGCATTTGGGCTGAGAGACCTAAGACTAAACTGCTAAAAGCTATTAGGACAAGAAAGCTCCAGCTTAGTTGGTACCATAAGATAGCTTCACAACATTATGTTGGATTGAAACCATGCTATAAAATGTATCGATTGGCCTTCGATGCCCTTGAACATGGGCGAGACCAATTGAGGCTTGCGCTTTGAAGTGTCTTAAAGCATCCCTCCTACCTTAATGAAATTATTTCAGGGGGGGGTTACCCTCCAAAATAATTTTTTCAAAATAATTTCAAAAATCTAACATGTTGGATGTATAGATTTATAGACTCCAACCATCACCAAAATAATTTCTGGTTGGAAAATTATTTTGATGGGTTACCCCCCCCCTCAAAATAATTTTGACGAAAACACTCTCACAGCAAAAAAAATATTTCAAAATAATTTTGGTGTTTGACCTTGTTTTGATCCGATGGCATATTCCACCTTTGGATGAAGGAATGTCGTACACTCAAGTTTTTGCAGGCTGTGTTCACACAGTCCTTCTTCGCAGTGATGGCAGTGTAACTTTCGGAGGAAACGATGTAGAACAATGCGATATCCCATCTTGCGCAATGTTGGACTTGCAAAAGTGGCTTATTATTCTTTAGGTTGCTTTTTGTTTTTTAGGATTGATGCGTTGTGAATCCTACAACGCAAATAAATTCAACATCATGTTTCATGTGTGCTCCCTGGTAGTCATGTCAGAATCTCCCCTCAATTTTAAGTTGCAGCAAGAACGCATCAAAACTTGCAACTCGAAACCAAACTCGTTCTTTAAGAATCTATTCAAAGGATCTTGGAGATGCCCTGCATTCCTCAAAAATCAAAGTGGGAAGCTGCCAGAACCATCCAACTCGCCCATAAACTGGAAACAAAATGAAAAACCTATCAAAACCGAACGCTTCCCAAAAAAGAGTTCTTTGGAGGGAAATGAAGGGAATATGGGAGAAATAATGGGAAATATGACAGGTTAGGAAAATCACTACAGGAAAGGGCCAGGTTGAATACTATTTTGTGGTATTTCCCACGGGGAGAAATTATTCTAGGGGTATTGGAGATACCCTGCGCTCCTCAAAAACCAAAGTGAGCAGCTGCCAGAACCATCCAATTCGCCCAGAAACTGGAAAAAATGAAAAACCTATCAAAACCGAACGCTTCCCCAAAAAATTCTTTGGGGGAAATGAAGGGAATATGGGAGAAAGAGGGAAAAACATGAAAGGCCAGAAAAACCACTATAGCAAAGAGCAAAGTTGAATACCATTTTGTGCGATTTCCCAAGAGGAGAAATTATTCTAGGGTATTGGAGATGCCTTGCACTTCCCAAAATTCAAAGTGAGCAGCTAGCTGCCAGAACCATCCAACTCGCCCATAAACTGGAAACAATTGAGCAATCTATCAAAACCGAACGCTTCCCAAAAAAGAGTTCTTTGGAAGGAAATGAAGGGAATATGGGAGAAACAAGAGGAAATATGACAGGTTAGGAAAATCACTATATACAGGAAAGGAATACTATTTTGTGGGATTTCCCAAGCGGAGAAATTATTTTAGGGGTATTGGAGATACCCTGCACTCCTCAAAAATCAAAGTGAGCAGCTAAACCATCCAACTCGCCCAGAAACTGGAAAAAAATGAAAAACCTACGTATCAAAACCGAACGCTTCCCAAAAAAGAGTTCTTTGGAGGGAAATGAAGGGAATATGGAAGGAAAAAAAGGAAATATGACAGGTTATGAAAATCACTACAGGAAAGGGCCAGGTTGAACACTATTTTGTGGGATTTCCCAAGAGAAGAAATTATTCTAGGGGTAGTGGAGATATCCTGCACTTCCCAAAAATCAAAGTGAGCAGCTGCCAGAACCATCCAACTCGCCCAGAAACTGAAAAAAAATGAAAAACCTATCAAAACCGAACGCTTCCCAAAAAAGAGTTCTTTGGAGGGAAATGAAGGGAATATGGGAGAAATAATGGGAAATATGACAGGTTAGGAAAATCACTACAGGAAAAGGCCAGGTTGAATACCATTCCGTGGGATTTCCCAAGGGGAGAAATTATTCTAGGGGTATTGGAGATACCCTGCACTCATCAAAAATCAAAGTGAGCAGCTGCCAGCTGAAAAAAAACTATAAACACCGAATGCTTTCCCTTTCACACTCATTCCCACCGAGTGTTCTTTGGAAGGAAATGAAGGGAATGTGAGAGAAATGTGGGGAAGTGTGAAAAATATGGAAATATGTATATAGGAAAGAGCCAGTGATGAAGATGATGGTTGAACATCATTTTGCGGGAATCCCCAAGTTTTTTTTTAAAATATCTTTTTGTGTTCAACCATTTAAAATTTATATGAAATTATTTCAAAACATAGTTATTCCAAGGTATATTGAAGGCTTAGATTATAACTCGCATATTCCAATATGCACATCCGTAGGCCCACTGCTTAGGAAAATTATTCAACAACATGTTTTCTTTAAACATATTCCAAAACTTGGTTGATATCCCCGCGTTTTTCTTGAAGGGATGGAATATCCCCGGTACACCTGCGAAGGCGATCATGTCGGGTAGGGGGGGGGGTCCCAAAGTATACATATGTAAAGATTGGAGTCTCCGGAGGGGGGCAAAATAATTAACTCCCCAGGGGTTGAAATAATTTTTACGAAGGTTCACCACCGTCGATGAAGGGGAAGGGGGGGGTCTATCGTAAGAAATTATTTTACCCTAAAGAGGGTTGTTTCGTATAACAACCGAAGACACTATCAACCCCCTGAAAATAATTTTGGAAATTATTTTGAGGGGGGGTAGTTAAGGGGGTAGTTAAGGTAGGGTAGATCTTAAAGCATTGTAATCAGCGTTCCAATTAGGTCCTGAGCTACAAAAAAGGAGGCTTAGGCCTCGTGACTCTGAAGGCAGTGACCGATCAACGTGTGCATGTGCATTGACATACACGCATTTGGGTCGACAGACACAGGACTGAATTGCTAAAGGCTATCAAGACCCCAAAGCTTCAGATTGGTTGGTAGGATAAGATACGTTCAGGGCAATCTGTTGGATTGTAGTCATTCTTGATGATTCCTAAGACATGCAGAGATCGACCTTCCATGCCCTTGAACATTCAGGGGCTGATGTAGGGGGATGCAAGTCTGGATGGATTCCGGGGGGGCTTCTTCGAAGCTGAAAAGATGAATTTTGCCACTTAGAAGCTCTTAGAAGCAGAAGGGTTCTAAGAAGCTAAACATACAATTTAAATCAAAAAGAAAACTTATCTTCTAAGAAGGCCTCTACTTCTAAGAGGCTGCTTCTAAGAAGCAAAACCCTTCTAAGAAGCCCATGCAGCTTCTAAGTGCTTCCGCGAAGCAAAAAACGCATCCATCCCGCGTTCCCACCAGAACTGCGTCCCCTTAGATTGGGCCCTCAAACATGGGCGAGGCCAATTGAGGTTTATTCTTTGAAGTATTTTTTAACCCCAGCAGCGTCTGGCAAGTCACACCTAATTCCGGATGGAGCTTACAGGCCTACAGACACATGCTACTGACTTTTGGCTGCTTGGTGACTCATGAGCTCCAACATTTTGTGGACTGGTGGAGGGTCAGGGCGAATCTCCTGGTGCATGATTTTTGTGAGTTGATCCGTTTGCTTGCTGACCGGCTCTTTAATGATCCTAGCTGTAAAGTCTCAAACATGAACAAGCCAACAGTGGCCAACCAGCCAAGCACTCAATTCCTTTGAAAAGGCCAAACTTCAGTTATTCAATGCCTACGCTTTTGAAACCCACAGAAAAAGGATGATTTTAGCTACAAACTCCTTAATGTAACTTCTGAAACCTATAGAAAAGGATGCTGCTTTTAACTACTTTTTCCTCCTGTTTCCTCCTGCTGCTGTTGCTGCTCCTGCGATTCCTTCTGTTCAAAAGGCACCTCCCGGATGGGAAAACACCATGGCAGCGAAGGACGGAAAAGCATCAGAATTGCGCCCAAAAACGCCCTAATGTAACTTCTGAAACCCACAGAAAACGAAGATTTGAGCTACTTTTTCCTCTTGTTTCCTCCTGCTACTGCTGCTGCTCCTGCTCCTGCGACTCCTTTGCGACTCCTTCTGTTCAAAAGGCACCTCCCGGATGGGAAAACACCATGGCAGCGAAGGACGGAAAAGCATCAGAATTGCGCCCAAAAACTCCCTAATGTAACCTCTGAAACCCACAGAAAAGGAAGATTTTAGTTACTTTTTCCTCTTGTTTCCTCCTGCTACTGCTGCTGCTCCTGCTCCTGCGACTCCTTCTGTTCAAAAGGCACCTCTCGGATGGGAAAACACCATGGCAGCGAAGGACGGAAAAGCATCAGAATTGCACCCAAAAACTCCCTAATGTAACTTCTGAAACCCACAGAAAAGGAGGATTTTAGTTACTTTTTCCTCTTGTTTCCTCCTGCTGCTGCTCCTGCTCCTGCGACTCCTTCTGTTCAAAAGGCTCCTGCTGCTGCTGCTGCTCCTGCTCCTGCGACTCCTTCTGTTCAAAAGGCACCTCCTGGATGGGAAAACACCATGGCAGCGAAGGACGAAAAAGCATCAAAATTGCGCCCGAACACTCCCTAATGTAACTTCTGAAACCCACAGAAGAAGATGATTTTAGCTACAAACTCCTTAATGTAACTTCTGAAACCCATAGAAAAGGATGCTTTTAACTACTTTTTCCTCCTGTTTCCTCCTGCTGCTGTTGCTGCTCCTGCGACTCCTTCTGTTCAAAAGGCACCTCCCGGATGGGAAAACACCATGGCAGCGAAGGACGGAAAAGCATCAAAATTGCGTCCAAAAACTCCCTAATGTAACTTCTGAAACCTTTAAAAAACAATGATTTTAGCTACTTTTTCTTAACTTCTGAAACCCAGAGAAAAGGATGATTTTAGCTACTTTTTCCTCCTGTTTCCTCCTGCTGCTGCTGCTGCAAAAGGCACCTCCCGGATGGGAAAACACCATGGCAGCAAAGGACGGAAAAGCAGCAAAACTGCGCCCAAAAACTCCCTAATGTAACTTCTGAAACCCATAGAAAAAGATGATTTTAGCTACAAACTCCTTAATGTAACTTTTGAAACCCATAGAAAAGGATGCTTTTAATTACTTTTTCCTCCTGCTTCCTCCTGCTGCTGCTGCTGCTGCTGCTCCTGCGACTCCTTTGCGACTCCTTCTGTTCAAAAGGCACCTCCCGGATGGGAAAACACCATGGCAGCAAAGGACGGAAAAGCAGCAAAACTGCGCCCAAAAACTCCCTAATGTAACCTCTGAAACCCACAGAAAAGGAAGATTTTAGTTACTTTTTCCGTCTGTTTCCTCCTGCTGCTGCTGCTGCTCCTGCTCCTGCGACTCCTTCTGTTCAAAAGGCACCTCCCGGATGGCAAAACACCATGGCAGCGAAGGACGGAAAAGCATCAAAATTGCATCCAAAAACTCCCTAATGTAACCTCTGAAACCCACAGAAAAGGAGGATTTTAGTTACTTTTTCCTCTTGTTTCCTCCTGCTGCTGCTGCTCCTGCTCCTGCGACTCCTTTGCGACTCCTTCTGTTCAAAAGGCACCTCCCGGATGGGAAAACACCATGGCAGCGAAGGACGAAAAAGCATCAAAATTGCGCCCGAACACTCCCTAATGTAACTTCTGAAACCCATAGAAAAAGATGATTTTTAGCTACAAACTCCTTAATGTAACTTCTGAACCCATAGAAAAGGATGCTTTTAACTACTTTTTCCTCCTGTTTCTTCCTGCTGCTGTTGCTGCTCCTGCTCCTGCGATTCCTTCTGTTCAAAAGGCACCTCCCGGATGGGAAAACACCATGGCAGCGAATCAGAATTGCGCCCAAAAACTCCCTAATGTAACTTCTGAAACCAACAGAAAAGGATGATTTTAGTTACTTTTTCCTTCTGTTTCCTCCTGCTGCTGCTCCTGCTCCTGCGACTCCTTCTGTTCAAAAGAGGACGGAAAAACATCAAAATTGCGCCCAAAAACTCCCTAATGTAACTTCTGAAACCGACAGAAAAAATGATTTTAGCTACAAACTCCTTAATGTAACCTCTGAAACCCACAGAAAAGGATGATTTTAGCTACTTTTTCCTCCTGTTTCCACCTAATTTCGAGCCGAAACTGTCTGTAAAGCTCACCAGAAAAACTCCCTAACGTGTCGTCTGAATCTTTAGAAAATACATTCTTCCACGCTGCATGGTGGGGTGCACCTCTTGAGAAACGCGATTGAAGCCGTTTGAGAGGCTTGCTTAGCCACACATGCAAAAGCAATGCTGATGGACACCACTCGAAATGCCAAAACACCACCTAATTTCGAACCAAAACTGTATTCAAAGCTCACCAGAAAAACTCCCTAACGTGTCGTCTGAATCCCTAGCCTTCGCTACTGGCTATGTGCAGTTCTACCCTATAGAATAGAAGTGGTAGTAGTCCGAAACATGGCTATGTGCAGTTCTACCCTATAGAATAGAAGTGGTAGTAGTCCGAAACAAGGGTCAAAAGTATTATTCCCTGGCGCGCTCCCCCTTGCGTCTGCCGGGGTCGGCGGATATCAAAATCATGTCGAATGATCTTTGATCTCATGTGGGGGCATGGTGGAGGGACAGCAAATTTGAACCACGAAGCTGTGATGCGATGTTTTGCTCATCTCGGTGTGACATCGTGGTGCCCGGCTGTCTGGACTGTCTGCTTGATTCCTCCTGCGCTTAGGAGGAGGAGATGAGCAACGAGTACCATTTCGTGCCTCCACCGGAGAGGAAGCAACTTGGACAGACTCAACGGATCTCAAAGGATCTCAAAGGATTTGAGGGATTTGCCCAACTTCAGATAACTTCGGGTCTACGAGGTCTACCCTTTGGCAGTTCTTGAAGATTTGAACATGTTTGATGTTTCGAGATGTTTCGAGATGTTTCGAGATGTTTCGAGATGTTTCGAGATGTTTCGAGATGTTTCGAGATGTTTCGAGTAATGTGACCAATCATGCCAATGTTTGAGGTCTAAGAAGTCTAAGTTTCACAGGCCACAGCTCGAATCAGCGCGGAGAGTACCGCCAGGTGCGTTCCAGCTGGACCTCTCGGCGGCTGCTCCCTTCAGCCATGCAACAGCACGGACTTGTCCGACACGAAGACGGGCTGGCATGCTCAGAACGGCAAGGCATCCCTGGATAAGACATGGAGACACAAGAAACAAATTAAACGATATAAAGACGATAAACATGAGGTATGGACAGATATGGATGGATATAGATTGACATGGACAGATAGGATCAACGAATCAAGCATATAATGGACGATAAACACATCAAAACCAATACATATGGGGATAGAATGGGATGGATATGGACAGATATGGATCAACATACTGTAGATATCTGTAGATGATATGGACAGATGAAATCAAGAATCAAACATATGGATGCAAAAAACCAGATATTATCGATATAGGTTGACATGGCCAGAAAGAATCAAAGAACGAAGCATATGGACGCTAAAAATGAGATATGGACAGATATGGATCAACATAGATTGGCATGGACAGATAAAATCAAGAATCGAACATATTATTAGACGACGGATGGCCCGAGAGCGTAGAGGAGCAGGGTCTTCTCTTGTTAGTATGGAGACGCAATATTAGAAACGATATATGAAAGCTGTGTTATAGGCAGTCGAGAAGAGGAGTATCAAGACAAAATAGTGAGAAGTGCAAGACAATAGTTTGCATCGCAAACACTTTTACACACAGACACTTTTACACACAGACGCTTTTACACACAAAGCTTTTACCCACAGAAGCTTTTACCCACAGAAGCTTTTACACACAGAAGCTTTTACATACAGAAGCTTTTACACACAGAAGCTTTTACATACAGAAGCTTTTACACACAGACGCTTCTACACAGACACTTTTACACACAGAAGCCTTTACACACAGACACTTTTACACACAGACCCTTTTACACACAGGAGCTGCTTTTACACACAAACGCTTGTACACACAGAAGCTTTTACACATAGACGCTTTTACACACAGGCACTTGTACACACAAACACTTTTACACAAACACTTTTACACACAAACGCTTTTACACGCATACGCTTTTACACACAGAAGCCTTTACACACAATCACTTGTACACACAGACGCTTTTACACACAGGCCGGCCCATGTACTCACAGCGAAGTCATCGTTGTCGTGGCCACCTCAGCAATCCGGCGGGGTGGTGCGGCGAAGTCCTATTTCCATGTGACTCGAAACCAGCATCCATGAACATGTCATGAGGGCTATGTGCTTTGGGGCCCCCCAACCAAGGTGGTTTGCCATCTCCCCAAAAAGAAGTATAAACGGGCGGACCTGGCAGGCGGCGACCGTTTCTGGGCTGGGACACACACAGTATTACAATATGATATAAGTTGGTTCTTTTTGGGTTTAGGGTCCTGACTCCTGACTGTGACTGGAATGGAAACTCTTATCTTAACACTCATACATCCATCTCTAGATATTAACAGTCATACATCCATCTTTATATCATATCTCTATCTCTATCTCAATATAAAATATATCGATTTGTCTCTTTGTGGTAGCAGCCTGCCTATCCATGTAATCCATCCCATCCCGGGGCCCTGACTCCATGCAAACCTAGCTGCACAGACCAACAATGCGGACCCGCAAAGCATTCAAGAACTATGACTAATGACTGTGACAGATCACATTCAGCGATGTCCCGGCACAATTATATGCGCAAAATCATGCGGTTTTACCAAAAGCTAGCTGCAAAACATCGAATGACTGCCACACACTGATGACAACATGCAGCAGGCCTCCAAAATCTCCAAAGACAAGCACCACAGCCACCAAAAGAAGCTCTGGAAATGCTTACAGTCATGTTTGCTCGGACAGTTCAGGGGGGAGCAGGGTCTTCCCTTGTTAGTATGGAGACGCAATATTAGAAACGATATATGAAAGCTGTGTTATAGGCAGTCGAGAAGAGGAGTATCAAGACAAAATAGTGAGAAGTGCAAGACAATAGTTTGCATCGCAAACACTTTTACACACAGACGCTTTTACACAGACGCTTTTACACACAAAGCTTTTACCCACAGAAGCTTTTACACACAGAAGCTTTTACATACAGAAGCTTTTACATACAGAAGCTTTTACATACAGAAGCTTTTACACACAAACGCTTCTACACAGACACTTTTACACACAGAAGCCTTTACACACAGACACTTTTACACACAGACCCTTTTACACACAGGAGCTGCTTTTACACACAAACGCTTGTACACACAGAAGCTTTTACACACAATCACGTTTAAACAGATGCAATTTTACATACAATCACTTTTACACAAACTTCTTTACACAGAAACACTCGTACACACAAACCCGTTTACACACAAAGACTTGAACACACAGAAGGTTTTACACACAACACTTTTACACAGATGCACTTGTACACACAAACACTTTTACACACAAACATCTTTACACAGAAACGCTCGTACACACAAACCCCTTTTCGTGCGAAAGGGTTACTCCAGCACACGAAAAATCGCAATTTTACCTCAGTTTTTGCCGATCGACCCTCATTTCGTGCGAAAGGGTTGCTCCAGGGCAAGTCAAATCGCAATTTTACCTCAGTTTTTGCCGATCGACCCTCATTTCGTGCGAAAGGGTTGCTCCGGGACAAGTCAAATCGCAATTTTACCTCAGTTTTTGCCGATCGACCCTCATTTCGTGCGAAAGGGTTGCTCCGGGGCAAGTCAAATCGCAATTTTTCCTCAGTTTTTGCCGATCGACCCTCATTTCGTGCGAAAGGGTTGCTCCAGGACAAGTCAAATCGCAATTTTTCCTCAGTTTTTGCCGATCGACCCTCATTTCGTGCGAAAGGGTTGCTCCGGGACAGGTAAAGTCGCAATTTTACCTCTCGCCTAGTTTTGTTGCCGATCGCCCTCCCATTTTTCGTGCGAAAGGGTTGCTCGGGGGCAAGTAAAGTCGCAATTTTTCCGCAGTTTTTGACGATCGACCCTCATTTCGTGCGAAAGGGTTGCTCGGGGACAAGTCAAATCGCAATTTTACCTCAGTTTTTGCCGATCGACCCTCATTTCGTGCGAAAGGGTTGACGTTTCGTGACTCGCCGCCGGCACCACCCTCGGCCTTAAGAGAGAAAGATAAAAAGAATGCGTGAGAGAGAAGGTGAGCAGGTGTGAAGATAAGAAGATGTGAAGATGAGCAGATGTGAAGATGAGCAGATGTGAAGATGAGCAGATGTGAAGATGAGCAGATGTGAAGATGAGAAGATGTGAGAGAAGGTGTGAAGATGAGCAGATGTGAAGATGAGCAGATGTGAAGATGAGCAGATGTGAGAGAAGATGTGAGAGAAGAGGTGAGGATGAGCAGATGTGAGCAGATGTGAAGATGAGCAGATGTGAAGATGAGCAGATGTGAAGATGAGCAGATGTGAAGATGAGAAGGTGTGAAGATGAGCAGATGTGAAGATGAGCAGATGTGAAGATGAGCAGATGTGAAGATGAGCAGATGTGAAGATGAGAAGATGTGAAGATGGGAAGGAGTGAAGATGAGCAGATGTGAAGATGGGAAGGTGTGAAGATGAGCAGATGTGAAGATGAGAGGATGTGAAGATGAGAGGATGTGAAGATGAGCAGATGTGAAGATGAGAGGATGTGAAGATGGGAAGGTGTGAAGATGAGCAGATGTGAAGATGAGCAGATGTGAAGATGAGAAGATGTGAAGATGATGAGAAGATGTGAAGATGAGAGAATGTGAAGATGAGATGTGAAGATGAGAAGATGTTTTACAGACCCCCACTATTGGAAGAACCCTGCGCTCAGACGCTCTCGGGAATGAACGCTAAAAACGAGACATGGACAGATATGGATTGACAAGATTAATATGGGCAGATAAAATCAAAATCGGTCTTGGATAGAATAGATAGATGTGGGTTCATGAAATAGAAGGGGTAGTACGTTTGCTAGAAATGGATCGAAAAGGTTGAGAGACGGGACACGTGCGAAAGATACAGATAGATACTGCACATATGAGCAACCGACCCTATACCGATACCCCTGTTTTGCATAAGTCGCCTCAAAGTCTGAGAACGCAGAAATCCTCACTACCGATAGGCGACGACCATTTGTGCATGGCATGAAAATGAACAAGTGATTTTGTGCGCTATTCATATACATACATTATTTATATATATACACGGAATTATACGGAAATATATGGATATAAATATAATTATATATATATATGGATATGTATATCCATATATATATACACATGTATGGATATATATATATATATACGTATGTATGTATGTATGTATGGATGTATGGATGTATGGATGTATGGATGTATGGATGTAGGGATGTATGGATGTATGGATGTATGGATGTATGTATGTATGTATGTATGTATGTATACATGTATGTATGTATGTATGTATGTATGTATACATGTATGTATGTATGTATGTATGTATCTATGTATGTATGTATGTATGTATGCAATGTATGTAATGTATGTAATGTATGTAATGTATGTAAGTAATGTAATGTAATATAATGTAATGTAATGTAATGTAAAGTAAGAAAGTAAGTAAGTATGTATGTATATATGTAAGTATGTATCTATGTATGTATCTATGTATGTATCTATGTATGTATCTATGTATGCATCTATGTATGCATCTATGTATGCATCTATGTATGCATCTATGTATGCATCTATGTATGCATCTATGTATGCATCTATGTATGCATCTAAGTATGTATGGTATGTATGGTATGTATGGTATGTATGGTATGTATGGTATGTATGGTCTGTATGGTATGTATGGTATGTATGGTATGTATGGTATGTATGGTATGTATGGTATGTATGGTATGTATGGTATGTATGGTATGTATGGTAAGTATGGTATGTATGGTATGTATGGTATGTATGGTATGTATGGTGTGTCCCCTGGTCCTGTATGGTCATGTTGGTCTGTCTGGTCATGTCCTGTCCTGTATGGTCCACTGTCTGGTACTTTCCTTGTCTTGTCTGGTTGCCCTGGCTGTCGGTCTGTTCCTGGTCACTGTCCTGTCTTTCTGGTCCTGTTATGGTCTGTCTGGTCCTGGTCTGGT